TTTACTACTTATTCCAATAATTTGTCTTAATTTTCACATCTCTCTCTCTCTCGTCTAATGTCTTATTAGAGTTTTGTTTTATTTCTCTGTAAATAAACTTCAATGCATTCCCCAATCGATTACACATTGCTTTTCCAATAGAGTAATGCTATAATAGTTAATACATTACCCATTTGTTTAGACAGCCTGTTGTTACCGATAATTAATGAGTGTTGACTCTATTTATGATTTTGTTTTTTACTTTTACTTTTTATTTTTACTTTTGTTTCTCATATAAACAGTACATTTATATTTCAATTTACTTTTAATTTTTCATTTATTGTACTGTTTTATAAACGAGTTATTAATTGAATATATCTTTTGAATAAAAATAAATATTTTAATAAATTATACGCAAATACAGTCTCAAAGACGACAACTGAGCTGAACCTCAAGTGGTCGGACGTATCGCCGGTCAAACTGTACGACAAACTAAAGTTACCCCAATTTTTGATTACAAATGTGAGCACAAGTTTGTGCAAAGAGACATTTCACATCGGTACGTTTGGCCATGATCAATTAATTCAATATTAACTAGCTAAACTAAACAAACTTGATTAACACATTAGGCGAGTACAGTTGCCTAAAGGCCGAGTTCTACCTACAGCGCGCGCTGGGCTATCATCTAGTGCAATCGTATTTGCCGACAATATTGATCGTGGTCATTTCGTGGGTTAGTTTTTGGCTGGACGTGGAGGCCATACCGGCGCGCATTACGCTGGGAGTGACCACACTTCTCACCATCTCGTCTAAGGGTATGACCACATGTCGCGCAAAATAGTTATTCAAACTTTTTTAAATGAAATATTTGCAAAAATATTAAAATTTGTTTACATGTTTTGATTGAATTAAGATATTTTATTTAAATAAATGACCAGGTGCTGGTATTCAGGCTGGTTTACCACCCGTGTCGTACGCCAAGGCTATTGATGTATGGATGGGCGCCTGTACCACTTTTGTATTCTCGGCTCTACTCGAATTTACCTTGGTCAATTATTTATGGCGTGCAAAGCCACCAAAGTCTGGTGTAAAACAAAACAATATGTGTCGCGATGTGAGTGTATATTACATTTTATTTAAGGATTAAAAATAGCAATTTAATTTGTTAATATATAATAATAATAATATAAATGCATTTTATTAGAAAAGGGTATTTAATTCAATCCCTATTTTCTTATATTCTTTTATAATCACATGTTTTGTTTAAATAGAGTCGAAATTTACATTAATTTTAATTTATAATGTTATTTACAAATACCATTTTAATACTTAATCTCAATTATCTGATCCACGTTTACCATGTTTTCCATATATGCAAAAAACATCGCTTTTCACTCAAACTGCACAACAATTTGAACCAAACAAATAAACCCATAGAAGACAACAACAGATACAGTAAATTATTTGGACAAAAAACTAGTGTTAAGTATAGCGTCGGACGATCGGACTGAAAACGGGCGGAATTTGTCGGGAACGGGACCCCCGGAGGCCGCGGCCAATACACCCGAACGTATTGACATCATTAGTCGTGTGATGTTTCCCATGATTTTTCTCTTGTTTAACCTTATCTATTGGCCGTATTATTTGATTATAATCGCACCTTAAGTCTATATTTACCCTGGTAACTCATCTCTCTCTCTCTCTCTCTCTCTCTCTCTCTCGTTGTCAATACAGTAAACTATAAATGAGATTATTATTGAGAAATGCACTATAAATTCAAATGATTGCCAAAAAAAATCGGAGACAATGTCTACAGAGAATTGATATTGAATTCTGTTAAAGAATATTCTGCCGAAAATTGTGTTGACTTTTCTTGAAACACAAGAATATGCAAATTGTTTGTAATTTATTTCTATTATTTGTCAATAATATATGCAATTCAGCGCAAATGCAATTGTAATTTCATTTTATAGCAAAATAGTCTATACGAAGTAGAAAGTACACTTATTTTATAAAGATATTTTTTGATTTTGTATTTGCATTTAGATTTAGTAATATTAATATTTAAATGATAGATGAGATTTGAATGGTTTCAACAGTTGTTGCCTAATATTAAGTTTTATATTTTAATGCCAAACGTTATATTAAATGTTTTTATAATTTATGCTTATTAGTTTATATTAATATAATAATAAATAAATAGTCTGAATCTAAAAATATTAAAATTATTTTAAATTAAAAAAATAGATATTACGTGAGATTTAAAATAACCATTTTATAAAAATTTTCATTTACGTCATTTCAAGTTGAAATTTCAACTATAATTATGTTTCATTATTTAAATTTAACTTTAGTAAATTTAATTAAATAATTATGCGATTGATTAGGTAAACAAAATTAGGATTTAATTATTAAAATTATTTGTAAAATAAATTTATTCTTGGTTGTTTTAATATTAAAAACTGTACCATAAATTTATCAATATATGGATACGATAAAGTTTACAATAAATTTATATCTTAACTATGATAAGCTTAAGTGCCATGTTTAGGCCTGACAGGCCTAAAGTATAATAACCACGTCATATTAAAATAAATTTTTTGCTAACTTATGGCACTCAAGATGATAAGTATTTTATAAATTTTTTAAATCCATAAATGTAATTTATTTCAAGTAAAACAAAAACATTATTTTAGCAAAATTGAATGTAATAATAATAAAGTTAGAGCAGATATTGGGTCAATTGAAACTAAAACTAGAATATTAATTATTAAAGCCACTCAAAAGTATTGGTAAAATCAAAATATATTTTTATGTTTTTATTTATACTGATAACATAAATTTTACAACAAAAAAAACCAAATCGTTAAATTGCTATTATACTAATTGAATAAGTTTTAATTATATTTAGTTAAAATTTAAATTTATTAAGAAATAATCATTTTAGTAATTATCATGACAATTATGCAAATATACTAAACACCCTAGTATAGACAGAAATCAGATCATTTGTAATTAATTCATATTAAACTTAATAATATTAATTTATATTATAATATACTCAGCCCTTATATAAAATTCAGACAATGTAGAAATTAATATTAAATAGCATTGAATCTATTAATCAAGATACAATCTAACAATCACCCACATGCATTAATAATAGGCTTAAGTTGCGTTTCTCATGTATGATGGACTTATACCGATACCCAATGGACGCACAGGTGTGTGGCATAGAGTTGGCCTCTTGTAAGTCACAGCAACACATCATTATTTTCAATTTACTACTTATTCCAATAATTTGTCTTAATTTTCACATTTCTCTCTCTCTCTCTCTCTCTCTCTCTCT